TGTCATCTGACCGTCAGGAGCCTCCTCATCTGTAGCAGGAGAGATTTTGGGTAAACTGCTTCCCAGGTCCCTCCAGCTATAATACCTCTTGACTCTAAAAGACAAATGTATTAAACCACAAGCATTTATTGAGCACCTCCCATGTGCCAGGCTGGGGAAGAGTGGTAAGCAACAGCCCCTGCTGTCTTGAGGTTTCTATCCCAGTTGGACAGTCAGCAAGTAAATCAACAAAATATCTCAGATGTGCGTGAACTGAACAATAAAGAACAATGAAATCACAAGAGGGTAAAGATGGCAGCTGGCAAGTTTTCACATAACTTGGTCAGAGAAGGTCTCTCTGAGCTCTGAGTAAGCAACATTTGAACTGAGACCGCAGGATGGGATGGAGTCAAGCATGTGAAGGCGTGGCTAGGGCAAACGAGCCTGTTTGGGGAACCAGAACTGGCTGTAGGGCCAGAGCAGAATGACTTGGGGACACACTGTGCAAGAAAAGGAATAAGAACCAGACCAGGGAGAACTGAGCCAGTCATAGGCAGGAGTCTAGATTTTTTTCCTAAGCACCACGGGAAGCATTTGAGGGTTTCCAGCAGAGCAATGATGTGAGCTGATGTATTTTTAAAAGCATGAACGCAATGACAAAAGGAAGGGAAGGAAAAAAAGCTGCCTTTTCTGCAGTGAAAGGGAGATGATCTCTCATCTGCCATTCATCTCCCACACACCACTTCAAACTGCGGTTGATAACCGCTCCAGGATTTGCTCTCCTATAATGCTTGCAACTAGATTTTTCTCTATTCAGTGTGTCCAAAACTAGCATGAGCCTCAGCTGAAGGGCAGGATGTGGGTTCAGCATGCAGTGACCACCATCCCCTTCTCCTGGAGCCAGAACCATCCCTGTGACTGCACAGCTAGTCACTGCACATCATGCCAGATACCCAGGCTGCCCACACGCTAACGATACCTCCTGGCATCCAGGAGGAGCCCAGACCCCCACTCTTCCCCCGCCACCTTCCTGCCTCCTTAAACGCAGCCACAAATTATTGGCACCTGGGCTAAAACTTGCCTGGCAGAAAACAGTCCTTTCCAAACAAGACATTTTCCTCTGCTATCTGCTTCTCTTGTGGCTGAGGGCAAAAAATCCAATTGGTTAAGTCATCTGGGTAAATAAATCACTTGATACAGTCCTAATTCCCTAATCACACAGCTCTCAACACAGAAATGAAATTACTAAATTCCATCCCCTTAACCACGAGTACCTACAGCTTCTAGCCCTGGAGAGTTATGCTAATATAGAAAATAGACCTAAATGGTTTACCCCCAGCAACAGCCTCATCCTAAAAGTATTTTCTGGATATTGTTTCTCCCATAATGTTAAAAGCTGGCTATCTGTCACAATGTGATTATTGACAGAAACTTTCCAGACCATTTTTCCTAGAACATAATACTACACAGTTTTGCTACTCTTTTTACATTAAAGATTGGCCCCAGCTGCAAATTTGATTGACCCTGACAAATTGAAGTCCTTAAGCTGGCAAAACCCATGCTCCCTTTAGACCCTGCTGGGCTCACGTCCTGGCTCCACCATCTGTTGCTGCTGGTGTGGCTTTAGGTGAGTCACTTAGCTGAGATGAAGTCAGTCTCCTCTTTGGTCACTTGGGGAACCTACCTTGTGGGGTTGCATTCGAAGCCTGGACAGAACATTCACATAAAAGGCATACAGCATAGTCGGCAGGTAAGCACCCGTGACTGATAGCAAGATGAGACAGCCTCATCAATGCGGCTGTGTAAGTCATAAAATGTACCAGCATTAACTTATCAATAGAGAGAGCCCCTTGATGTATCCCAAACAGAATAAAAGAATATTAAAATTTGAAAGCATTGCAATGTTTGGTTGAAAACACACAAAATCAAAAGACAGGGACTCTAAAGGTCTGTGACAGTTCTTTACCCTAGTAATTCACTGTGCCCTTCCTGGCAATAATTTTACCAAGTAATATTGTCTCTAGTCTGATAAAAACTAATGATAATAATTTGTGGTGTCTACTGTTATGAGTGCATTATGCATACAATCTTCACAGCAACTCTCAAGTAGTTACTGTTAGGCATATTTTACAGATGGGGAAACCGAGGCAGATGCTTTAGCTCTGGAATCCCCCGACTTAAATACTATGATATTTACATATATAGAAATCTATAAATATATAGAATGAAATGTACGTATTGACAAACTATGATCAGAGGGCCAAATTTAGCCCCCCCCAGTAAATGAAGTTTTATTGAAACGCAACCACGCCCATTATTTACATATTATCTAAGCCTGCTTTTGCACCACGCTGAGTTGAGTAATTGTCAAAGAGACCATACAGCACACAAAGCCTAAAATATTTACTCTGTCTGGCCTTTTCACAGAAAATGTTTGCTAAGCCTTGATATCAACTTTAAGATTCACTCAATGATCAGAGTTTAGAAGAAGAAATAATACTGTATAATAAAAATGCCTCTGATATTTGCAGTGAGTTTTTACGTATGTATCTCATTTCATTCGCATCACAACCCTGTGAAGTAGGTAGTGTTTTTATTTCCATTTTAGAAATGGGGAATTGGGTTTCAGAGAGGTCGAATGACTGACACCATGGACAGGCCAGTAACCTCCAGGGGCCTCAGGGCTGTGTGTCTCATCTCCATCGCCCCCCTCATCTGCCACAATGCTGGGATGAGTGGGCTCCCTGAAAATGCTTGCCAAATGAGTGACAGTTGGAAAGGTCAGCCAGCTCGAGACCCAGGTCGGCTCCTATTCTAGGTTCTTTCTCCTGAGCCCACAGCTGCCTGGCAGCAAAGAGGGACTTTCTCTTGAGACAGGAGTAAACACAGGGTGGCTGGCTTGTCATCCTGCTACCTGGTGACAAATGCGTGCTGCTATATTCCAACTCCTTGGTCAAAGAGCAGGTCAGTCGGACCCCAGGCTGCTTGTTTTTCTTCCAGTGCACCGTCACAGCCTTGAGAGTTTTCCTGTCCTTGTGATGAGTGCATTTTTAGACAAGATTAACACTGACACCCTCCGGAGGTAGGAGTCACATGGAATCCAGGTTTTGGCTGGATTTCAGACAGAGCTCTGCCCACCCCTCCCACCCAATGATGAGTCACAGCACACAGCCGACTGCCCTTCTAGCGAGTGATCGAGGCTCTTGTTTTCTTTCATCTCGCTTTGTGCAGCTCATGTGAGGCTCAGGGTATTAATAGAACCCCAGTTTGGCCTTCTGATTCCTGCTGTTGGTCAGGGAGATAAATGAGAGGCTTGGTCAGTCCCTCTGTGCAATTTTTCACTCCTCTCCACTGTCACGTGCTGGGAGGCGACAGTTGAAGCAGATAGGCCGGGGAGGCCTGTGTGCTCCCTGCCGGGGACTCGGGGATGTGGCTCTGGTGGTGTTTTGACTTCTTGCCTCGCTCAGTGTCAGTGGGTGCTCGTCCGCTGCTGAGCTCCAGCCTGGGCTGACCAGTCCTAAGTTCACAACCAGCTCCACCTTTTCTCCCCACCCTCTCCCAGCTTGACAACCAAGTCTCTCTCTTAAATGTGTGGGGACATGGAAGCCAGGCAGGAAAAGATCTGGGTGGGTTTTTTTAAGCATAAAGTAAAATTATGTTCAGGAAATTAAAAGTCTGTGGTTTGACAGCCTCCTAAGGGGCTCCATGGGGACAAAACTTTTAAATAAACGCCCTGGAAGCAGAGGTGCTTTGAATCACTTGGGGCTTGGCTCCAAAAGTCTTGGTTCTCCTCTGCAGTTCAGCTTTTAGAAGGTCACTTGCTCGCACCCTTGATTTCAGTGCCCAGCACTGTGTCACAGAGCCCACGTGACGCTGGGCTGGAGCCTGACCAGGAGGTAGAACTCCCTGGGAAGACATTCAGGTTTTAATATAAAGGGAGGGGTCTGGCTCTCTAAATGTAGTTTACCCTGTAAGTCTAGGGCTAGTTTCTTTTCCTGGAGGAGCTGCTATGTCTTGGGGAAATGAAATACTTTCAGTTATATCAGGCTTTTCTGTTTGATAATTCTGAGAAAGCATGAAGTGTGTTGAGGAGGACTCTTCTGGGCCTCACTTTGCTCATCTGTTAAGTAGGTTGAACTACATGATGTCTAAGGCCCCTTTCCTGCCTAAAGTTTACTCTTCAACCCAGAATCTTTGAAAATATATATATCTCTCTCTCCAAAGGAGCAGGTTCTCTATATGAAAAGGGGAAGGAGAAGTGGACGCTTGCACAGATAAGCAGGCAGGAGAACAACTTTGATTTTTTTTTTAATCTTATCACATCTGTAAATTTTGCAATTGAGGGGTAATTGGGCAAAAGATGCACCAACTTAAATTATCTTTGTTTCTTTGGGTTTAGCTCTGGGACTAAACCCTGCTGTCCAAGCAGAAGCATTTATATCCACCCCACATGCTTCAGTTTCTCTCTTTTCCTCTGATTGGCCTCTTTCTACAGAAAGTTGAGTGCCATGGAACATTCTAATTAATAGACATTTTAATTTGAATGCTCTGTATGGAGCATTCAGAGAGGGCAGTTTCTACTTCCTTGGAAAGTGCACACAAGCTTTTAGGTGTCTGGAGAGCAGTTGGTGCCTAGGAGGAAGAGGTACACGTGGATGTGTAAAAACTCCCACTGGGCGTGATTACGGAGAACCAAACCTTTGCAGGTCATAGGAGGTCTGTTCCCTTCAGAGTACCTCAGCTTTGCTTGCTGAGGACAAGTAGAATAAATTCACCCAGGCTGAAGCCAGACTCTATATTTAAAAGAAAAAAAGCAATTAAATAACTGTCCTGATTCCTGACTTCAAATTACCCCCACTTCTTTCACTTGGAGCATCTGCTTTTTATTGCACCGTGGCCCTGCCTGGCATTCCCCTCTCCCCGTCAGCCTGTATCTACACGTCATGTGACTGCAAAGTAAAGATTAGAGAAGAGAAATATCTCTGTCGTCTAAGCCTGGCACCTTCTATTTTTATCCACAGCTGTTGGAACTGATAGCAAAATCCCAGCTCACATCCCTGAGTGGCATCGCCCAAAAGAACTTCATGAACATCTTAGAAAAAGTGGTACTGAAAGGTGAGCTTCCTCTCACCCCTTTTTACAGGTCTGCGGATGGGCACATGGGTTTTCCAATGGAGTGGACATGATATTAGATTTATGGGAACATAAGTGGATGGAAATTAAAAGCTCTAGGTGCATTTCAGAGACCCTCAATTCCAGTTAAGAGTGTAACTCAAGAGACCATCACCCTCCTATTCTTTTCTTGGGGTCATCCACTCGCCCTGCCATAGACTCAGGCTTCTTGGTGTGAGTGCCTGTCCCAACTGGGCCACCAACACTCTGGGTGCATGCCACATGCCTAGAAAGTGCACCTGAGTACAGGCAGAACTGACTCATCAATATGTCAGCTAAGTGGAACTTCCGGCCTGTGGTTCAGTCAACTCATGGTGCATTTGGAGCCACTGAGGCCCATGAGAAAGACTGATGTGTCCATAATCACATGAAGGCTCATCCAGACAGGATTCGAGCCCAACCACCTGACCCCAGACCTGCGCCCCAACTGCTGACCACTGCCGGTAAAAGAGGCTGCTGCTTTCAGAGCTGTCACAGGGGCTGGGCAGACAATGAAAGAGAAAGAGTCTTTGTAGAAAACCAGGGAGAAGAGAACAAAGAGGGACCTAGATAATGCAAACCCTACCCAGCAACCTTGAGTGTGGACACTCGGCCAAGTGTGAAATAAACACTGGTGAGAAAGCTAGCCGTCTCCCTGGAAGCGGTGCCGGTTTACAGAAGCAGAATAGAGAAGAAAGGCCCGCCTATAAAATATAGGGTGTTCCAGGATCATAACTTATTATTTTTTTCTTCCCCACTTAAGTCCTTGAAGACCAGCAAAACATTAGACTAATAAGGGAACTACTGCAGACGCTCTACACGTCCTTATGTACACTGGTCCAAAGAGTCGGCAAGTCTGTGCTGGTCGGGAACATTAACATGTGGGTGTATCGAATGGAGACGATTCTACACTGGCAGCAGCAGCTGAACAACATCCAAATTACCAGGGTAAGCAGGAACGCCCCAGCTTCCTTCTGGCAGGAAAGTCTTCCATTAGTTCCTCTGCTGGGAGCTGGGCATCCTCGCCAAGTCTTGAAATCCACTAGACTGTTCTGATCTGATGCTTTGGCTTGGCTGTTGAGGGTGGGCTGGGGCTTGCTGAATAAGGGAGGGTAGGAAGAACTTGGCAAGCCTGGAGCAGAGTGTATGAAAGATGAAGATGACAGTTCATTGGAACTTGCTGGGAAAACTGGGAACTTGGCCGGAGTGGGGAGATGTTGGCCTTACCACTTCAATGTCTAGAGGCTTCGAAATCTCTCTCTTCAAGAATGTGTTGTGTACAGCTTTAGGACACTGCCTGGAATACCATAGCGCTGTGACCATGGCTTGGAGAATTGGTACCAAATTTGTAAAATTCTAGTTCCAATTAATGGTGTGATCAAGGAAGCCTTTGATAAAAGACTGTGGAAATGCATGTTGGAAAAGAGACTAGCAGTTCTCACTCAAAGCAAAACAAAAAAGGTCCTATATTTTAACATGAAAATGTAACTCGGCCCTCTGTTATTGTGTTCTTTGCAGTGAGGCACAAAAATGGTGAGAAGGATGCTGCTGTAATCTCTTAGGTTTCACTAATGGACAGACACACTTAGGCGGCTCACGCAGCACTTGGCTTACTTATCTAATCACTGGCCACGTTGCTTTAAGTGGTTCCGGGGCTGAAGCTGATAAAATTTGGGTCTGCCCCATCTCTCGAAAAAGTAACATGAAAAAACCTCTTTGACTGCTTTTCAATAATTATTTTACTATATGAAATTTTCAAACTGCAGTGTCCTTGACTTCACTGTTTTATAACCTCTCTTCCTGAGTTGCTTAAACTCAGAAACAGAAGGAATAATTGAAGCTTCTGAATTGTGTGAGTTCCTTAGAAAACTACTTAGACTGCAACTCACACACACACTCACTCACGAAAGAGAACACAGGTCCAGATAATCTTCCCAAAGCTTTCTCAGTTACTTGATTATTTTAAGAGCGGGGGAGTATTGTGAACATTTCACTGATGCATTTGAATAACATACCCCATTCCCAGCTCTTACGTGTAGGCATAGTTTGACAACATGAATTTTAAGGCCCAAATTCTTAACATTTCTCCCAGAAAATCCACTTACCCCTTCTATGTGCTCTCTGGCATTCTCTATACGGTGGACTTAGAAAGCCCAGGAGAGAATTACCCTGGCAATTATATAAATGAGCAAAAGCCCCCTTTGTTCGCAGAGCAACATCCTTCTAGAAATGTTGGGATGTCCTTATCCAGAGCTGGCCTCTCTATTCCTTCTGCCCACCCACAGGAGTCCCCCTGCCCACATATACCATTTACCTTGCACTTCTATGGGGTTCCCTAGAGTCCCCCTCACTTGATCTGCAGACGCTCTGGGGAGGTAGCTACTGTCAGGCTACCCCACCTCATGGGGTGTGAGTGGATTGTGAAGCAGAGATGCTCAGTGGCTTTGGAGTTACAGAGCAGTCAGGGACAGAGCTGAGGCCAGATCCCTGGACTCCTTATTCCTAAAATGGTGACGATTTCTTAACATCAGTGCTTTCCAAACTTTTTTTCAATCCAGCTTTCTTCCAACTATTTATTCAATGATCCAGCTTTTTGCAATCCTTCTAAATCCAGTGAAATCCCATGCGAGACAGATCCAGCACCACAGTCCATTATGCTCTCCCCTCTGCTCATGGCCCCCCAGCCAGGCCCAGCTATTCCCTGCACCCTCTAAGCCTGGTCTGGCCTTGGGGCTTATAAGCTTGCTGCCTCCCTGGCCACCTAACCTATTGGAGCCACTGTCACATCACCTACATCAGAGCAGTTACAGCAACTGAAATTATCTCCAAAGTGTACCCATTTCCCTACCTTATAAACCCCACCATAAAAAGATATTGCCCATCTTGTTTCCTGCTCTATCCCCTCTACCTGGCACTGAACAGAAAGCAGAGTGTAAATTTAGTTGATTGAATAAATGATTGCAGGGAGGCTTCCTGCCATTGGTTACCTGAAGCACATGTTCAACATTTAGAGGAATGCGGTTGGAAAACATTGCCTTGTTTTATGGGTGGTGATGGGAATTTACCAATTGCAAGATGTGGGGCCATCGTCAGCCTCCCCAGCCTCACCAGCCTCATCGTCCTCATTTGGAAAATAGGTACACTAAGGGCTTTGCATAGGCCTGGTGTGAGGTTTCAAAAATTAATATGTAGAAAGCACTGGAATAGTGCCTGACACATGGTATGTATTGTAAAAGCATCAAGAGTGATTACTGAGGGCTCTGCTGTGGCAGACATCCTTCTAGGCACTTCACAGGTGTTACTGAACTCATCAAGTGAATAATTACAGGAAGGAGACATTAAGATGGCTAATATTTATTGGATACTGTGCTCTGTACTTCTATGCATGATGTCATCCACTCTGGCCAGCAACACTATAAGATATGTTTTGCCTCATTTTATAAGGGAGAAAAGTTAAGATAGTTAAGAATAGAGACCTCCCTTGTGGCGCAAGGGGTTAAGACGCAACCTTTTGAAGCTAACTGCAGCCACTGCAGCACGAGTTCGATCCCTGGCTAGGGAGCAACCCACATGGTACAGCAGACCTCTCCTGACTCGCCCGCTGGTCCCCTCAGCAGGGTATTTCAATCCATCTGCCTGTTCTGCTCCCCACTCTGTCTCTACTGAGTCCTCTCACCCCTTGCACCTCTGACCTATACCCCAATCTTAAAAAAAAAAAAAATAATAACCTGACCAGGACCTCATCACTAGTAAGATGTAGCTCAGGGATCCCCCCAGGCCTGTCTGCAGAGGCTGCACTTTGCCCATTACACTTAAAACCCTCCTTCCTAGACCTCCCGGGCCCCAGGAGTAGTGCTGGGAAGCCAGGGGCCCAATGAAGCTTTTCACACAAATACCCGACTCTCCAGAGGAAGAAAGATCCAGAAAAAGAGGCAGAAGGGACATAATTACTTCCCTCTGGACTGTGTTTGTAACAGTTTGGACCAAAGAGAAAAATCTTATTCCACAAAAACATTAAGGTGACACTTAAGTGATTGTTTTCTGTTTGCCAAAATTCCATCAGTATCTCTCATAATCCTGTTCTTCAAAATTCCATATCTAATTCTGTGGAGCCAGTTTTTATTGGCAAAAGAATTAATACAATAAAAGTGAAGAAAAAAAGTTTTAAGGGGGGAAATGATCAAATTGAAGTATAATGTGCAATGGGCAGGTTAGTGTTTTGAAGCATGGGGTGGGGGGACTTGAAAGGATTTTAGCGAAATGCTTAATTGCAGGAGTAAGAGTGTTTTCTGTTATGTTTTTATATTCAAAAAGTAGAAAGCACACAAGCAGTTAACCATTTATCAGGCATGAGGGCTCGGCATGGGGTCTGGGCAAGGATTTTGGAAAAGTTCAGGTTTGAAAATTTGAGAGTGACTCTGCCAAGGGGACCTTAATAGGAGTTCATGTCATAATTGGCCTGGGAGTTTTAACCAAAAAAGTAGATGCTTTGAAGTGCTGGAAACAGAAAGAAAATTTCATGGCAGTTTTATTAGCTGCTGTGATCAGCAGCAGATGATAAATGACAAAATAGGTCTGGGGCTGCTGCAAGCCGGCAAAATCCTGAATTTTTCAAACAATTGAAAGCTCAGCCCAGCGGCCTGAGGAACATAAATTGTCAAGTCAGGGACACTTCGGCTGCTCGAGGCGGCGGAAGCTCGCGAGTCTGAGCTGATTGGAACTGGAAGGGATCTTCAGAGACCTCTGAACCAGTTCATCTGGGCCAAGGGGAGACGGAGACCCCGACTTCCCCAGGCCACCTGGGACCCAGCACTGCGCCCTGTCCATCCTGTGCTGTCCCCTTGCAGCCGCCGTCCTCTGTAGTCCAGCTTCCCACACGTGTCCCCTTGTGTGTTCAATTTAGAGGCACCTCAGACACAGTTTTGTTCCCTACAAATTCGAGGAGGAACTTAATATCCATTCCCAGGCTAAGGAAGAGGTTTCTTTATGCCGGTGTTTTTTTCCTGTGACCACCCCCCCAACACACACCCCCGCCCAGAGGTGACAGATCACTGAGCTGAAAACATCAGTAGTCCCCAACTCCAGAGCTCACCCAGGACTCCAGGAAAGGCAGAGAGCTAGGCCCGGGGGGATCTGCGCTGGCTTCTCATCCAGATGGCAGCGCCCCGCTGCTGGGGATGACACATCAGCAGATGCTGTAAAGGGCCTCTGATCCGTAACCCAGAAGGCAGAGGCCAGGTGCAGCTGCCCTCTTGCAGGTGTCCCCTGGCGAGTTGCTGCTCTCCACCTGCAGCTTAACTGACTTGATGTCATGCTTCTCCCCAGCCTGCCTTCAAAGGGCTCACCTTCACCGACCTGCCGCTCTGCTTACAACTGAACATCATGCAGAGGCTAAGTGACGGGCGCGACCTGGTCAGCCTGGGCCAGGCGGCCCCCGACCTGCACGTGCTCAGTGAGGACCGGCTGCTGTGGAAGAGGCTGTGCCAGTACCACTTCTCGGAACGGCAGGTGGGTGGGCCCGGCCGCCCCTTCCCTCCCTCCCTGCTTTCTCTGACGCCCTCCTGAGCTCCCTGGGTGGGTGTCCACCCTTCCGGCTCCCTGGTTTGAGGACAAAAGAGCCTTTTACATGTTGATCCCAAAAATACAACATGTGGCTGCAGTTCTTTTCTCTGACAAAGACACCTGCACTTTTATGATGTTTTTACAGCTAAAGTACTTGGGCAGACATTGCTTCCTTGCGTCCTAGCCATGCAGGGCAGGGATCCTTACACGCTCTTCATACAGGGGAAGGCTGCAAATGACTAAGTGACATATCCAAATGCCTGAAGCAGTGGCTGTCAGTGGGGAAGCCGACCTTGACCTTGAATTATGGGGGTCTTCTGACCTGGGCTTTTTCCCTCTCCTCACACTGCTTTGGGAGTTTTTCCCAGCTTCTTTCCATAGATGTGTGAGTTCCACAAGTTCTGCTCAGGAAGCCACTAATATTTAGATATAAAATAGGACCACGATGCCAGGCAGTTACTGTATCTCCCTGGAAATAATCGCTCTAATCTATAACAAAGGAAAGGATGAACTATTTTCTTGAACGCACTAAACTTTGAAAGACCATCCAGATGCAATTTAGTAGAGGTCACTAGTAAGCTGTCAGCAGCCACCTTTTTCTTTTCAAGACTGGCTAAAAGCGCCAGTGTAACTGGGTAGAGCTCAGGAGGTACTTCTTTATATCTTGGCTAGTTTTTACCTGGGTATTGCCAGGATTTAGATGAAAAGGGGTGATCAGGGAGTAGAAGCAAATCTTTTCAGAGCCAGAAAAGCACAAGCCATCTTTTTTATGAACTCTCCAGCAACTGCTTTTATTTGTTTGCTGTTTAGATCCGCAAGCGATTAATTTTGTCAGACAAAGGACAGCTGGATTGGAAGAAGATGTATTTTAAACTTGTGCGATGCTACCCACGGAAAGAGCAGTATGGAGATACCCTTCAGCTCTGCAGACACTGTCACATTCTCTCCTGGAAGGTACGTGTCTTTGGGGCAGTGTGGCCACCACACACCCCAGCCCGGCCCCTAGGAGACAATAGCTCCAGCATCACAAAGCCCAATCTCCTCCTCTACCCATGGAAGCCCCAGCTGAAAGTGAAGGTTAAACCCATTCACTCTCTGGGGAGAGAAACTTTCAAAGACCTTCATTTCCTTCACTCCCTTATGTGTATTTTTTTTCTGCAGCCCGCCCATCCATCTACTTCTGCACACACATACATGCACACAGCTTTTCAGTTCTTCCAGAATGTCTGGCATTTTTGACATAGGGATGCTGTTTTGAGGTTGGGCAGTGCCTCAAGGTGCTGCAAGCCAGCGAGATGCTTCTGAGAACTCAAACCTAACCACGATGTTCCTTTCCAGGGCACTGACCATCCGTGCACAGCCAATAACCCAGAGAGCTGCTCCGTCTCACTTTCACCCCAGGACTTTATCAACTTGTTCAAGTTCTGAAACCCAGCACATGACAACACTTCACAAGGGTTCCCCAGCTGATTGGATGGTTGGGAATACAGAGTTTGGACGCTTCGTTTGTAAATAGTGTACATTTTAAACATTGGCTTGAAACTTCCAAGATAAGTCATGGAGAGGACATTGGAGGGGCGGCGTGCAGTTGCTGGCTGGGAATTTAAGAATATGGACTTCTTGTTAGAATCGGTATGGAAAAGCAGAAATACTGTAAATAAACTTTTTTTTTCCTAATGATTTTCCAGCAAGACTCTAAAGGCAGGAATTGTCTTTCATTGGTAAAAATGGAATTCTCTTGCTGATCACTGAAACTCCCTTACGGTTCCCTGGCGGTGTGGAAGAAAAGGGCAAAACGCGACGCAAGATCGAACAACTCTTTGTTTACAATGTGAACATTTGTTTAAAGAAAGAAAGAAGAAGAAAAACTGCATCTGAGAAATCCCTGGGCTTTTTATTTTGATTCGGGGTTTGTTTTGAAAAAGCAAAGGAAGCATCACCATCGTCCACCACACGGGCATAGGGCTGATTTGATGAAGACGTCACACAAGAGTCTACCTCGGAAAGCATCCAAAGCTCTCTCTGATAAAGTGCGTTGTCCAGTGGGCAGTGTCTGTTTCTCTTGTCTTTCATCATATAAAAAGTGATTTAAAATGGGAAAGGGTATCGGAGGTGATTCTTACTGTGTTTCTGACTTCCTTTTTTAGGTGAACTCCCTCGGTGGAGTTGCCTCTTGGAGATCAACCCCAAAACACATCTGCCCGTTTTCCATTCATGTTCTAGCTCATTGGGGACAACAGTCAGGGAGGAATTCCTGCTGCAGAAAAGATAGACTTAGACACCCAATTACTGTGAAGACTTTCTTATTCCTGTTTAACTTCTTGGCTTGTCTGGGTTTCTTTTGGTATCTTCGTGGATAAGCGTATCTCTGTGGCCTGGTCGGAGCCAGAATGCTGATAAAACTCATAAGACAGGTTTTATACTCAGTTAAACGTTTTACCAGCCGCTGCTCCTCTTGGCTGGTGATAAGCTGAAGCTTTCTTTTCTTCATGCCCCACATCAAAATTGAGTCAACCTGCACTAGGATTTCTTGCAAGGTTGATAAAACGGTGTCTGGAGTTGCAGCCAAATGGGGAACAGACGTGCTACGAGTGAGTTCATCCCAATCTTGCTTCACCCCCCCGGGGATCATGCTAGGCCTATATCAACCGGTACCTATGTGGAAGAAAGGAAATCTCAGGACTGAATGGGTTCCTTGTCAAATATTCCTGGGAGGAATGGGGAATGTTCTTGGTTTTTACTTTTTTATAGAACTTTGCTTTTCTACAATGTACATATTTTTGCAATTTATTTGCTTTGTGCTTTTTATTTTTTGCACTTAGCTTTGCCATCCTGCATGCCCTTGGCAAAAAAAAAAAAAAAAAAAAAAAGTGAAGCAGAAATAACTTGGTTGACATTTATATTGAGGACAGTATATTTTTAAGAGTTGAACCTCGGGGTTGGAGGAGAAAGATGACTAAGTAGTAGAGAAACAAGCCAAGGCACCCGCTAATGTTATAAGGCCTCTTTGGTCCCTTCCTCAATGTGCTTTCTAAAGACAGGTCAACCTCTCCTCACTTTGCAGTGTGTGTGCCTGCATCAGTTTCTCGGTATTTTTTTTTCCATCATCATCCTCCTAAGAAAAAAAATTGAACTTAAATTCTCCTTAATGAGAAAAGTATTAGAGAGATCTTGTTGGCTAAGGTTGAGCTTTGGTGGTCACAACCCACTGTGACACCGAAGGTCATCTCAGTAATACCTAAGGTCATTTTGCTGACAAGTCAAGGTCACATTGAGAAAGCAGGGCCTTCACTGTGAAATAAAAAACTAGTTCTCCCCTAACTCAGACAGATTTCCTCAAAGTCTCAACTTCCTCACAGATGTGGGATGGAGCTGGGTCAGTGGTTGTTTGGGGGGCTCTGGAAACTTGACACTTTTAGGGTTCAGGCTTCATGGTCTCCACTTCTCCCCACCCACTCAGGTCCGCAACCCCGTCGTGCTGAGCAAGGCAGTGGAAATGCCTCTGCATCTGCAGGTTTGCAGTCTCAGAAAATCTGCCTGCTATGCATTGTCCACAGAGAACTAGCAAACTGGCCTCCTTGGGCAGCCCATCATGCCCACGAGTCCACATGACACCTCAGGCAGCAGGAGCATCTGTGCAAGACCACTCCGACCCCAAGTGATCAGGCTGTAGGCCTGGGGTGTAGGCCAGAGGTGTGGGAGGGTGAGAGGATTCACCATAGACAGAGCAGGGGACAGAACAGGCGGATCTACTGAAATACACTGCTGAGGGGAGCAGGGGTAAGACAGGAGAGGCCTGCTGTGCCATGTGGGTTCAATCCCTGGCCAGGGATTGAACTTGTGCTGCAGTGGCTGCGGATAGCTTCACAGTGCTATGCTTAACCCCTTGTGCCACTAGGGAGGGCCCTGCTTTTTGGAAACTTTTACCTTGAGGGTGCCTCTGGGCTCTCCCCATCTCTTTTGGCATTGTTGGAGGGTGTGTGTGACAGAAACAAGAAAAATATTTAGTGGGTGTTAGAAAGGAAGAAACCAACATGTGTGGTTCTCTTTCACTGGAAGAGGAGAATAAGGAAGGAACTAGCAGGTAGAGAGGGAGCGGGAAGGTAATGGACATGGCTTGTCTGATGCTGTTTATGGGGCGATGGGGAAGAGCAGAGTGGGCACGGAGCCTCCGAGCCAGCACCAGGTGCTAGCTGGGAAGCAAGGCCAGGACCTCACATATAAGTAATTTTTTTTTTTAATTCTTCTTCCCTAGGCACTAAATCTATAGAATTTCTATTGGCAAATTCTCCCAGGACAACCTGGCCTAAAAACAACAGCAAGAAAGAATCCCTGTGTCAGAATGTCAATCTAAATGCCCAAAGAGGCATGGCGCTGGAAATTGCTGGAAGAGATAGAATATACTGCCCTCTTTGTTGTACCTACCTACCCCCTCCCAGCTCTAGAAAGGAGCATTCGAAATTGGTGTCAAATCTTAAGTCAGACTCAAAAGAAGGAAAGAGTTTGGTCCAGGGCCTTGTGAGGAAACCCACAATTTGGTCCAATTAGCAATGAGTCTAGCGTCTCCTGAAAGGAAGGCACAGAACTTGGGGAAAGGAGAATTCATGAAGTTTAAAGAGCTCATTTTATCATCAGATCCAGAACAATCCATTGACATTCTCAGCTAGCTCACATTATCACTCAATGTTGTGACTTGGAGCTCTGGATGTGGGGTGGTGGAAGCCACAAGGTAAAAGCATCCCCAGGATGTCGTCGTGACGTGACGATCGATTTTATAGGAAATGATTTGGAGGAGAGAGTTTCGATGGCTGCGCTCACACTACAGAATTTCACAAGCAGCAGCTCTTGGCTGGTGATGGGAAGGGACTGGTCTGTGCACCGTGCTATGTGCACACAGCTCATGCTTGTGGATTCCAGCACTTTCCCATGAGGAGCTTGCCATGAACAGGGCCCTTGTTTGTTTCTGTTTTTGTTAAGTGGGAGGAGAGAAAGAGCTTAGAGTTTCATTTGTCTAAGCAAGTGGTGTGAGTTACAAGAAGGTCAGTCTTTTAAGACGTGTTCAGTAGTATATCCCTTATAGCAATCAATACAGTTTATCATAAAATAGGCATCTGCGTTTATATTTTTCTGCCAGGCTGTAGGGCAACGTCTTGATATGCAAACACTATTTTATGTGTGAAATTCTTTAACCATAATCTTATGTGTGAGTTTTTTTAACTCTAAGATATATCATCATTTTCTATGTTGACATCTGTTGTATTTTTTTTTAAATTGTTTCCAACTAGCTGAGTCTGTGAACCATCCCTGGTGACTGGATGCTGGCCTAAAATCCTTTTAGTCTTTAAACAGACCTCAGAAACAGGCTGCACCTCTAGGCAATGCAAAGATAATGCTCTTTGATATATCTTGGGGCTTGATGTGGCCAACAAACAAGATCGTAATCCCTTTAAATGTTTTCTATAGGCGTTTTCTTCTCTGTTTTGTTAAGTCGCATAAACCTCGGTTTTCCAGGGGAAAGAAACTCCTACCAATACTTTAGCTCCCAAAGGGAGACATTATAGAATTTGGCCCTCCTGCCTTTCAAGACAAGGAAGCAAGTCCAGAATATTCAGGGGATGCCCCTCAGCCTGGTGGCCAACCTCAGCATAAAACTAGAGGGAACCCCGAGGCCTTAATTTGTGCCCCCTCCAGACCCCAGCACATTTTCCATGTGTTTGGAGCCACATGACACCCAATCTGATTCTTCTCAAGACCTCCACTGTGAAGGCAAGTGTGCACCCTGTGCTTAGCATCCGACTGTTAACTTTTCCAAATGTTTTCAATCCCTGATTTCTCCTGGAGAAGTTACAGAGCCATGTAAGGTTTTTACACACCTCTGTCTGTGTCGTGAGGACCGTATACTTGTGTGAACGACCTGCGCACCATAAAGCAAGCAGTATTGTTGGACAAACTCATCTTTCCCTGGGTTGTACATTTTAATATATTTTTAACTACGAAGGTGGCACCTATGAGGATAGACAAGGGTCAAGTTTGGCTTCTAGAAACTGAGGTCCTGATGGTAACCAAGCAGGTACTTCCTCTCCCCTGACACAAAGAGGTACGCGTACTCCATTTCCTTCATTTCCCCATCCTCTGGTCCCTGCTGAGAGCTCCAGTATGTCACTAAGGAAGTTCACTCTCACTAAACCCCTTCTTCACTAAGCAAAGGGGTGTCCCTCCATGAGGCAGGCAGCAAGGAGAAAGGACCATAGCACTTCTGACTCTGTCTGCTGGATACCTCTCCAGGTGTCCTGGAGCTCACTCAGCAAATCTTCCTGAACGATCCCTCCAACCTTAGGCCCTGGTCCTTCCGGCAAAAAAATAGATGGCTGCTCCAAAACTGAACTTCTTGAAACACCATCTGCTACAACATTACTTCTGGAGTTTGAATATGAGTCGTATTTTTTCTTTGAGTCTAGAAATGTCTGTTTAATTCACGAGGCACAAGCCTGTTCAACAGAAGCAGCGCTCCTCACTTGTGAGTTCTCGGCACCATTTTTATTCTACCAAGTGCCAATCACCCTGGTGAAAGGGGATGCATATTCAAGTCCATGTCCTATGCTTAGAACCTTTACTTTATTTTTAATGAAAAATATTCTAGGGGGTTGAACATTGTAACTAAAAGTGTAAGGTTAGACCAATGACATG